ACCGCGCGTTTTGTATGAAAAAAAAGGATCGTCCGTTTCGGCACCGCAGCAGGCCGTCAAGAAACGTATAAATTGAAAGCGTCCTTACACGTGAAAATAAACCTAACGCGAGAAAATTTTCCGTCAATGATTTATTATGGCTTTCGCTGTGGGTTTACTCAACAAGAAAGCTATGATAGGCTGCGATTAGCATTTCTTAATGTAGCCCTATCTCGTGCCACTATTGACAATTGGTTTAACGAGTTTAAACGTGGACGTAGCAATCTCAACGATGATCCGCGGGAGGGACGTCCTTTAACAGCTACTTCTGAAGATAACATCAGTGCTATGTGACGCATGGTAGAGGAAGATAAGAAAATGACCTATCAGCAGATACGAGCAAGCCTAGGCATTGGTATGAGTCAAGTTAAAAAAAAATTACACGAACATTTAGGCGTCCGGAAGCTTTGTACCAGATGGATTCCCCATGGTGTCGCCAAATGTTAGATAAGTTCAACGGCGGTGACTCAAATGCTGCATTTGACCTCGTCACAGTTGATGAAAGCTGGATATATTGCTACGAACCCGAAACCAAAAGACAATCAGCTCAGTGGATGTTTGGGATTGAGGATTTGAGGATTGGCCAACTAAGGTAAAGAAAGGAAGAAGTCAAGGAAAAAAGATGATTGCCTCATTCTTTGGTCGGTAAGGTCATTTCGCGACAGTTGTGCTAGAAGATGGAAGGACAGTTACTGCAGACTGGTATGTCAATCGCTGTATGCGTAAATTCGACAACAGCGCCCTCGAAACAGGATCCTCCTTCACCACGACAATGCTTCAGCGCACTCCGCAAAAAGGACTGTTGAATATTTGACTTGGTTCCAATGGGACCACCTCGGAAGTGTACTCTTTCGATTAAAAAGTATTTTGGAAATCGGTCCACAATTGGGGTGATGACGGGGTACAGTAAACGAAATTCTATTTAGTCCGTCAGTTAGATGATCAAAAAATAATAGACACCAATTTTTTCTTTGGGCAATCAACCAAAAAATGACAAAGTTATAGCGCGTCAAAGTTTGGGAGTAGGGGCTCGTGACGTCACTTTTTAGTGAATTTTCACTTAAAAGTGTACTTAAACGTGACGTCATGCGACTTTTCAAATCAATATATCTCTGCAATGTTTATATTAAGGGAAAAAAGAAAAAATATGTGTCCTATACTTTTTGGTAATCTCCCTGATAAACGAAGAAAAAAAAATTAGTCATCATCCCTATTGACGGAGAAATCGGTGAACTTACATAAAAAAATATACAGTCGAAACAACGATATTAAATACCTTAGATACACCAACACGAACAAAATCGTGCCCGAAACCTGTCCAAAAGGTACATTGAACAACCCACGGAGCTCCGTAACATGATAGCATAGTCAAAATCAATTTAAGGCATTATTTAAATATCGAAAGTAACCTTTAATACATAGTATTTCAGGTCTTAAATAAAACGCATGCGTCCAGTGTCCAGTCCAGTGCTTGAGTAGAGTTCAAGCACTTCTTGATTGGGTTACATTTTGAGCGCTCGTGGTGTATCTAGGGTATTTAATATCGTTGAGTCGAACACAGAACCTCCTCCTTTTTTGAAGTCGGTTAAAAATGTAAGGTTTGTTTAATCGCCACATAAAGGTACTTGCAATTATCGTTTTAAGTGTCGAACGCACACCTGCACTCTACTAAAATTCCTTATAAGGTAAATAGTTTTATGTTAGTAATTAAATGCAATAGGGTACCTATAATGTCTGACGAAGATTAATGGTAATAGATCACGTTGGCCAGTCGTAAATCACAGCGGATTACTTCGGTGTTGACTTTAGTGCGACTGAGTAAAAGAAAAGATTTGCATAGAACTAATGCAGTAAAGCTTTGAATTAATATCCTGTATATTAATTCAAAGCTTTACTGCATTAGTTCTATGCAAATCTTTTCTTTTACTCAGTCTCAAAAGTAATTTTATATTTATTTAGCTTACTGCGTGAACGCAACGTATCCTAGGGGCGCGGGGGTTATGTCAATCGGTAGCCTGGCTCTTGGTAATAGGGTATTTGACAAATTTTAGAAAAGGATCTCACGTTATTGAATAATGTTTATAGAGTCCGTAAAAAGTGGATATTCATAATTCTGTTGTGTATTTCAGGAAAATAACCATGTCAAAAACTCCATTTTCAAGTTGCCGCGAAAACGTTTCTCTAGGCGATATGGCATCTTACTAGTGTGTGACGTCACACGACCGTTCTTAAAACGTCAAACGATACAATGTAATGTCACTTTAATCGGAAGTTTACTTGCATGTGACGTCATTTTAGGCTCCGCCAATCCCAAGCGTTTTGGGTCACGTGACAATAGATAAGGAAACTATTATCTTTTTCGTGAGTTTTTAGTAAAATTATGAATATTAATTCGTTAAAATAGTAAAAATCCCTGCTAATATTCATTCTAAACACAGATGCTAACAATTGGCACTTTATTTTTAATACTGTCAAATATCCTATTCAGTCGCTATGGAGCGTTTCTCGGGAGCAGACCGCGCGTTGTGCGTGCGAGAGTTTTACAAAAACGGTGATTCGGTGACTGAAGCGCATATAAAATTCTGCAGTATTCGAGGTTTTTGCCACTTAAATGATGCGCTAAGCATTCCTCTCATTCTACATTGGGTTAAAAAGTTTGAAGCGACTGGTAAACACTGGATAAATCAAAATCCGGGCGAACTAGGTCATCAAGAACGGTAGCAAACGTGTAGAATGTTAAATCAGTCTGTTTGTGACGACCCGAACCTTTCAATTCGGAGGCGCGAAAGTAATTTTACTGTCCGATTAAATGAGTGCCGAGAGCGCGAGGGACTACATTTAGAAGATATTATTTTCAAGAAATAAATCTCCAAAAAGTGTAATTTAATAATTAATAAAAAAAATCTATGTACGGCTTACTTTTATTTAATCGATCCACTATTATATAAAAATTCTTCGGAAACACCTTGTATAAACATTTTCTTTAGATTTAACTGGCAGTTAAATGCATAAAAATATAAATATAACTATAATTGCTATTTCTTCTCTCAAATGTTTAATACTTGAAAAGGTATTCATTTGGCATTGTGAGTTACACTGCGATGAGAAAGCGCTGCCTTGCAGCCTTAGAAAGGCTATAGAAAATTTGACACTGCCATTAACGGTCAGTCGCCCGGATAGCGATGGGTGCGGGTTCGGTACCTGTCTGCTGCCCAGTCCACATTGATTTTTTTCTAGTAAAATTTTCTTTAGATTTAAACATCTAGCAGTTAAGTGCTTAAAAAAATAAAATATAATAATAAACATTTATATATTTTTTGGTATTCCAAATGTGCTATTGAACAAATTGATTTATGACCCACTTGCCCGATAACTCGCTCAAAACCAAAACAGTAAATTTTTCATATGAAGATTGTGTGATTGCACTGGTAGGACTTTCTAATAATAAGGAAACTGTACTAACATTTGACTATGAAAGGACATGGTAAAGTTTTGTATGAGCGACTGCCCTGGCAATGTATAAATACTGTACTTAGTATTATTTAATGGTAAAAGACTGAATGTTTATAATTTCTATGAAAAAAGGCTCAGGAACTTTTGATAAAGTCACAATATTGAAAATTATGAGAATTCCTACTATGTCATTACCTTACTACAGTTGATAAAAGATGTTGACAATTATTTACAGTCATTAATTTCGCATTTTCTTTGAATCTTTCTTCCCATTTCTCTGATTAACACGTCACAAAAAGTTTTTTAAGCAAAAATAAATACAAATAATTTGTTATCATTGATCTGACAGAAAATCTATGAAGTTTTATTTTGTCCATTTGCAAAAATTAAAGGATTAATTATCACACAGCCTTGTCTCAAGCCTGATCAGAAAAATAAAATCTATTATTTTAGACCTTCAGTGATTTATTATTATAAAAATTAAAGCCAAATAAGTCATAGTTTGAAGGACTTTAGAAATAACACTGTTAATTTCGATATACTTACACAAATATTTTTTGTGTACATTTATTTTGTAAAACGGAACATTTTGCTTTTGAAACAGACATGAAGTCAATTTTAATACTTTTAAATATTTGATTATTTCACGAAAGTTATATGAGAATACTAAATACGTAATAATTAGTAAAAAAATATTGTAAAGTTACGGGCCAGTGCGAAATAATTATACACGTTAAGGGCAGTTTCTTAGCCATGTCCTTTGACTTTTATTTTCAATGCAATAGGTATCGATTCTGGCATTTTTCTCTAAACTTAAAATTAAATTTGACATCATTCTCTCTCAAGGATGCACTGTTGTCAAATTTAAGTTTAGGTTTAGAGAATCATGCCAGAATCGACACCATAGTCATCTTTTACTCGTAAATATAAAATACGAATAGGAGTTTAATTTCGAAATCACTGAAAACCGTAAATGTAATAAATAAACTCTTGATTTCTTATTATTTGGAAAATTTTTGTTATAATAGGGAAATCCTTAGTTCTCCAAACTCATTGTAAATGCAATAAAAGCGTACTCATAAAATAATATTTCCTAAATATCTCACCAATTAAAGAGTTACATAGTGACTTTACGAATTAGATGTCGCTTAAGCGATAAAACACACATTTTTTGTCAAGCAAACATCAAATCATACGTCAAATATTGGGGCGTAAGCGCCATTGAGTCAAAAACACCAAAATTTATGTCGCTTCAGCTTTGAGAAAATTAAAAATCTCAAAAAAAATTGTTGCCTAAGCGTCAAAAGAGTACTCGAATCTTCGCGAAACATAAACAAATCGACACAGAAAAAAACGATTAAAATGATAATATATATGTTGCAGTTAAAACCAGTTTTTAGATAAAGCGCGTTTTCCCTAGTTACAACTAGTTTTTACTAAATACCTTTGCTAAAACTAGAATTGACTAATGCTCAAAATGGAATATCAGTTAAAACTAGTTCTTATTAAACAACACGCGTTTTTCCGAAGCGAGTCAGTTGAAACTGTTCTCAATAACGACACCACCTGAATAACCTACAACAGTTGTTCAAAATATTTACAGATCAGATTATGGTCGGCCCTGTCGGGCACAGCAAATAAGAATTATTATAATAATGCCAATTTCTAACAAAATTAATATGAAAACATTATTAAACACACTAAGAAACTTCTTTTTAACTCGCTGGTTAGAAGCAAACTTGAGTATTGTTCTATGATCTGGAGCCCAAATTATCAAATTCACAAAGATCGTATAGTGGCAATCCAAAGAAGATTTACGCGTCTAATTCTGCATGGTAGATATAGAACGGCTCCGTACAGGGAACGCCTAAATACTCTCAATATGGTGACGCTGGCTGATCGTCGTTCGACACTTGATATAACTTTCTTGTGTTAGATTTTGAATGGTATATTTGATGATCCTATGCTCCTCAGTAAGTTTCGCTTTAGGATACCATCGCGGTTGCCACGTTATCCGGCATCACTCTTGACACACAAAACGTACCGTAGCAATTTGGGTCACCATTCACTCATCCCTAGGTTAAGTAGATTAATTGGTGAGCTTGTGAAGAAGGATCATACTATTGATATTTTTCATGATAAAATACCAACTTTAAAAAATAAAATATTTAGAATACTGGGAAAGTAGATACTTAACTGTTTAATATTATTGTTAATAAAATTAGTTTGCCAATAATGGGTCTGGTACGTAAGGGGTTCTCTGAACTTACGACCATATTAGGCAGTGTTCTCTCCTTTTAAATAATTATAGAGCATGATAGACTGTCGTGATTGTTCTGTGTTTGGGCAAATATTTGTGTTGTGTAGTAAATTCCGTATGTAGAATATGTAAAAAGAAAAATTGTTTACTGTTTAGTGCATGATGAGGCCATCTTTAAGTACAGTTATATTATATCCTAATACGTAAGCATATGTGTAAGTTTGTTTGTATTAATATAGCTGTGTTGATGGTCCATAAATAAATAAATAAATAAATTAAAAAAAGGAAACAATTTGGGTTCAGGCTTTATGATTTTATACAATAAGTTTATAATTAGATGTATTCTTTTTTTTCCAATTACGTAATTAATTTCATTTAATATTTAACATACATTTATAAATTTCTAAAATTAAGGTACATATGGGATTGTAATATTTACTATACTTCAGCATAATACACTTAGACAATGTTTTAACTTTTTATAAACTATTTAACAGTGTTTTTACATACTTATAAACTCTTTTTTTTATCTAACTACCCTGCAATAAATTAATTACAACTGATGAATTTATTATAAATTAGACTTTATTACAAGTATATATGATTGAAAGTCCTTTTTAGTAACATAAATCTAAATTTCGAAAACGTTTTTTTTTCTTAGGTTTTGTCGCTTACCTTAAATTGTTCTTATTGTTTTTTATTAATGCTTAATGTTATCACACCTTTTTGAGAAAAACATACATAAGCACGATGCTATTTTACAAACTATAATAGCTGACTTTTTAAGATTTCGTTAATCTAAAAGATCACATAAATATAAGACAATTGCTATAAACATAATTTCAAAAGAATAAGTATAGATAAAGTTATAATATTTTTTCTAATTTTCAAATTATTTTTTGCCTCTCCTGAAAAACTGTCTTTTGGAGGTTATGGTATTTCATATTACAAGTGACGATATGATTCTATGTCCTAGATCTTTTTAATAAATAATTTTAAAACTATATCTTGTTTTCAATCCCAAATTAGTTTCTCTAGTGCTAGTTTAAACTAAAGCTCGGAGTGACAACTAGTTTTATCTGAAAATCAAAAATATCAGTGGTAAATTCTAGTTTTGACTAGTTATTTTTAGTTTTAACAAAGGCAACATTTAGTAAAAACTAGTTTTAACTAGGGAAAACGCGTTCTATCTAGAAATGGGTTTTAACTGTAACATACATGTAACATATAACTCATTTTCTCTCAAAGTAGCGTTTAATGTTGTCTTTTCACTGTCGAATATTTTATCTCGGTAGGCCATGGATGGATTGTATCATTAATCCATGCGGTAGGCATTACTTTTGTTTATTATTGTAACAATGATGGAATGCTTTGACAGTGGCAGTATTTACAAAGGTAACTAACTACTTACTTCATTTAGGAAAAATTGCAGCTAGTTTTTTATTCTGTGGCTATATTCATTGAGAAAGTCTATCGCTCAGACACTTGCTGCCAAAAATCCGACATATGAGGAAGCTCTCTTTCTCCTACAGTAAGAGTACGAAAAACTTTCATTTTGCTCCCTACCAGTAATAGAGCGTAGTAGGAGTTTAAAGGAAACGGCTAAATAATATTCAGTTTCAAAAATAATTATAAATGAAAAACATGTGTTTCTGTATAGATGTATTTATTTTAAATTCTCGTATCCAACTATTTGAATCACAGTCTACTATAGTATAATTAAAGTCAGTATTATTAAATCAAATGATCACAATAACAATAATTATTAATAATTCGTAATAATACATTGTTATATTCGGCATAACACGTTACAGTGCTACTTTATTTTATTAAATATTACAACAAATATAATAATATAAAAATAGGCAGACTCGATTTTGTTGGTTTAGTACACAAATGTGATAAAAAACGCTGCGTTTTTTCATACTCTTATTTAATTATTTGCTATTAATACTTATGTACTTAGTTAATATGTAATTAGTAATATTATACTGCAGTAAAGTTAATATTATTATGTAGTTACACTGCCAAGTTTTTATTTGATGTATTTTATGGAGGTACATTACCTAAAATATCTCCTATATTGTATTTACTATGCCTTACTTATGTAGCTTTAGCAAAAAGTAAATTATACAAATTTAAATAGTATAACAAAAATCGATACTTTTTAGATAATGAATAATACTTTGTTTGCTTAAACAAATAAATTAGGTATGTACGAGAACAGTCGACCGAACAAACGCAGCGTTTTTTTAACACAGTGTATACATCACTTAACGTATAGAAACTTATATTTTAACAGGAACATTATGGTTAAGTATTGATGCTTGGTTGTAGTAAGTTGTTGGTCTACCCAGCCTGTAAAAGAAAGAAGATTTTCAATAGAATTTAAAAATATAAAAATAAGTAAAATCTTGGGTAGGTAGGTACAGTGTTTACTACGGATAAAGAAAAACTATAGCGATCTAAGTATGTAACATCAATATACATATTATTCTTTCTGATATACGATTTCTTATTGTACCTGGTACTGAAACAAATTGGGTTAAAATTACTAGTAATATCTTCTGGATTTAATAAATGAATTCGTAAGCATTAAGTCGTTTCGTAAGCGTACCTAGTCTAACATTTGATGGATTACCTAATACTTATTATCTCGAATTCCTCCGTGCTTCGGAAAGCACGTTAAGCTTTTGGTCCCGGCTGCATCTGCAGTCGTTAGCACCGACCAATAGTGCTCGCTTGGTTGGGTCATGGCACGTTGCCCCAGCAGTGGGTACATTAACAGGCTGACGGGGGAAGGGGAAATGTGAGCAATGCTAACCGAAGAAATATCATTTCTTCGGTTAACATTGCTCACAAAGCGAGCACTATTGGTAGGTGCTAACGACTGCAGATGCAGCCGGGACCAAAAGCGTAACGTGTTGTCCGAAGCACGGAGGAACTCAAGATAATAAGTATTAGGTCACCCATCCAATGTTACCCTAAAATTTGATGAATTTACTAAATTTTTATTATTTTTAAAGCATGTAACTGCTTGATGTTTAAACTAAAGAAAATATAACTAGAAAAAATTCCACGCGGACCAGGCAGCAGACGGGACTCGAACCCGCACCCTTCGCAATCCGGGCGAATGCACTGACCATTCGCATTCGCCCTGATTTGGAATTTTTTCTAGTTATATTTTCTTTAGAATTTACTAAATTCAGAATGAGTGTCAACATCTCTATCCATACTGCTGGATCCAGCGTGCGAGGCGTTATATACGTAGAAGAGGTCATGTATCTCCATCTCTTTTTTATGTGTCTCGCACGCTTGATCCAGCAAGATGAGTAGTGCGTACAGAACTTTTGTTTAACTCATAGAACACAGATAGAGGTTACAAGGATGGCAAAAGACCGACTCGCCTCCACTACCCTTCCACCTAATAGATAAAAGTCAATCAAATGACACGACAGCTAACAATTGAACCAACCAGCGCTCACACTCGTGAGCAACGACGCAATCAGAACTAAGTTTTGGTCAAGTCATAAGCATTTGCATAAACATAACTGTGGCGCGCCTGCCCCGCACACAAGGCCTTTCTAACCTGTTTAAGTGTTCTGTGGTTTAACTGGACGGTTGCCTACGACAATGTAGGTTGATGAAAATGGCTACTTACAGCTGGATACAAGAACGTAGAAGCGGACCCGCTCCCGAAGACGTTGGCGGCGAGGCAGGTGAACTCGCCCATGTCGCTCCAGCGTAGGGGGGATATCACCAGCTCGCCTGATCGGAGGACCTGAGCAAATGGTTGTGCTATTGTTAATAATCAGGCGTTAACCATTCAGCAGCCAACGAAAGGATACGTATATAAATAAATATCCATAAGGTCGTTTGGTCGACGACAGCAACAGTTTATCATTCAAACTAATATACCTTGTAGCCCTGTATGATAAATAAATTGAATAACAATCAGAGGCTGATAAGGTATAAGTTTCTCATCAACATTGCTAATAATATTCTGTTAGGACTTTTAGTGAATGTTTCCGTCAATTTATTGTCTATTGTAAGAAAAATAGTTCACTTACTTATTTTCCTTTCGCATTTAAAATTTTCTTGCTATTGGCAATGCCATTGAAACATTATTGCGATTAAGATGACATGTGAATCAAAAAGTATTGTTCTCAACAAAGTCCCACAGTGAGGCATATCCTGATATTGCAAGCGTCTTATAGTTTTATAGTATTTTGTGGTCGTTCATCATTGGGCAGACAAATATGTTTCCTAACCACACTTTCTAAATAAAACAAAATTCAGACGAAGGACTACACGTCAGAAGTGAAAACGTATAATAAAAAATCATGACCCAATTTCATCGAAGAGGAAAATAAAATGGACTAAAATTTTATCAACTTCAACTTAAAGCCAAGTCAAATCAATGGGGACCGCTTGGTGTAACGGCATCTCTTCTGCCGTCTGCTCCTAAAGTTCTGGATCCCAATCCCAGTAGGGGCAATTATTTATTATGTGATAAACACGAAAACTTGTACCCGAGCGGGGTAAAGATTTTCGTGCTCATCTGCTCATTATTTTTCTTCTTGCCTTACTTTGACATTTTAATCACTGTCATAGAAAGAGTTACTTATAGGAAAATGGAAGTATAACATACCTTCATCCTCGAATTCTTCGTGACCAGGACTCCATTGTTATCCCTCCACGAGATGACAGGCCTGGGGTACCCTCGCGCCTTGCACGGTAGCACGACGGCATTCCCTATCGTATCCACGAACGCTTTGTATGAAACCAGAATTCGTGGTTCTAGAGGCAGAAGTTTAGACCGCTCCGTCGGATCTGTGGTTTTACCTGGAAATAAAAGGTTTTTTAGAATGTTATTCAAAATGATAGGTAGTTATAATACTACCTACAATGTGCTTTGGGAGTTGCTTTATGGATATTTCTATGGAGATTTGTAGCATCATGTCAGAAATCGATTGATTCTTTGATTTCTTACTTACATTAAAGTTTTTAATCCAAAAGCTTATTACGTTTAAACCTCATTTTATCTCTAGTCGATTTTAAACAGTTGACAAAGATTTATGTCTTTTCATAGGAATGCTCGATGGCGCAGGTGGATAGCGTGTTCTATCTGTGATCGTGGAAGTAAAGCTAATTTCGCATTGGTCGGGCATTGGATGGGTGACTAAAAACTTATGATCTCAAGCTCCTCCGTGCTTAGGAAGGCACGGTAAGCTGTTGGTTCCGGCTGCATCTGTAGTCGTTAGCACCCACCAAGCCGCACTGAGCCAACGTGGGCCATGGCCCAATCTCCCTGTTCCATCCATAGGGTAGGCCTGTGTCGCAGCAGTACGGACATTCATGATGATGTATTTTGCAGTGTCCAGTTACGACTCGTAAAATTTCTCTCGTGTTCGGTCTCCTAAGTAAAATTTCCTGAACAGTACCCCTAGCACGAACCATTATCGCGAAATGTCAATATCAAATTTTGTATGGAAAATTGTACAGCAGCGCCACAAAGTACGTAACGAGAACTAATAATCAGTACACATTTGACAATGACATTTCGGACTCGCAATCGATTCGAATTCGATATTGGTTCGTGCTAGGGGTACAGACCGTTCTTGTGAGGAACCTTTTATTATTAAAGATTTAGGAAAGGGTTATATTTACCTGAACTGCTTACGATTGTGTTGGCTCGCACCACTTTGCTGGCAGAAGACGCTAAGCACGTGTATACATCCGATCCGTCGCTGTGTGTTACGAGTAGCGTTGACGTGACCCGTCCTAACGAATTTGGATTGCTTTCTATAACCTCATTCGATTCTGTATCGTGCTGGAAAGAAGAATAAGATTGGTTTTTAAAATACCTGACTTTTGGGATTTTACGATCCTATCGTCTTCTCTTATTATATCTTAGTCTATAAGTAGTAGTAGCTTGCAATAGTAGCACATTTCAACTGTCTCAGATATTATAAACACTAAAATATAAAATGTTCTGCGTTCTTTTCCCTTTTTTCGAGCTTCTTATTGTTTCGGGAGACACGTTGAATCCCAGGCTTGTGCCCCAGTAGTGGGGAGATTGTTGGGCTCAGTATTGAACTTATTACTGGCTCGAATTTGAAGCGCCCGTCTGGGGAAGTAACCCCGCCTTACAGAAGACCCCAGTACAATAACACTACCTTTTGGTGGTGTTGTGTTTGCGCTGGTGAAGGGAATTGAATTCTGGCCGGCAAGTAGGAGATTGTTGGAACGGCACACTTTCTGGCGCATCATGTATCTTCGCGAAGAAACATGATTCCAGTTGCCATCAGATGGGATGGGGTAATTTTTTGCGCCTCGAATAAAATAAACTAATGTAAGCGGCAATGCGGGCTAGAGTGAGAGAAAAAGAGCCTGCCTACCGCAGCCGTATGCGTGAAAGGAAGGGAAGTCAGACAGACTGGCGCCGTAACGCGTTACGTAACGAAGCGGTTTACCCTTCCATTAGAAGTTATCACTTCAAAAACTTGGACTGAGAGGACTTTGCTTGTAAAAAAATATGTTTCCTAGATGATGATTATAACTTACCTCATACACCGGCGAGTTGTTTTTGAACCAGCGTATCGTTGGTGCTGGGGAGCCTATCGCCTCGCAGGTCAGGGGCAGCAGTACTCCCGTAGTGTGCGCGTACGCAGCGTTCGGCTTGCGTTCTAGCGACAGGAAGCGTAGAACACCCGGCTGCTTTGTGGGAGAGGCTGGAATTTTGGGAAAAAATATTTAATTGTGCAACTTTGCAGAGCTTGGTATTATGGATAGTGTTAAATAATGGACCTGATTCTGGTATGGTTTTCTGAACTTAAAACTAAAAAGCAGTATCTATTCTGTTATCAAATTTAGTTTAAGGTTGGAGAATCATGCCAGAATCAAGTCCAAGTCCAAGATGACTCGACACTAAATATTTGCAGCTCATACAAAGCTCATGATACAAGAATTTGAATCTAGGTACTTTGGCACTGAAGCGGTTCTTGTGAAACACTATATAAATACTTATGAGTCAACGCTGCGTTAAGCGGCAGTAAGGAGCGGGCGTCCGCTCCGCGTTTTTGTTTCGTGCTATTTCATAGAGCGCTGCGTGAAGCGGGTCTTCCGTGCAGCGCTATATTTATGAAATTACAAAGAAACTGCGGGCGGAGCAGAGGTGCGCTCCGTGCTCCCGCTGAACGCAGCGCAGGCTTAAAATTTAATTGCAAAATTTTACCCGAACATATATACATTGAGTAGCTCGATGGCGCAAGGGGTTAGCGCGTTCGGCTGCGATCGGTGAAGTTAAGCAACTTTCGCAGTGGTCGGTCTTTGGATGGGTGACCAAAAATTTACCTCCGTGCTTCGGAAGGCACGTTAAGCCGTTAGTCCCGGCTACATCTGCAGTCGTCAGCATCCACCAATCTGCACTGGGCCCACGTGATGGGTCAAGGCCCTGTCTCCCTATTCCATCCACAGGGGCCTGTGCCTCAGCAGTGGGTACATTAATACACTGATAATGATGATGATACATACATAGCAAGTTAAATAAAAGAAAGACGAACTTTAAGACACTTACTATTTGGTTCAATATTATTTTCGAAGTCTAATAACTTGAGATGCCTGTTGATGTTGGATGAGAGGGTTCCTGTGCACAGCAGCGCCGCAGCGGCGAAGTAAAGAACTATTTGATACATATTTAGTGGCTACTAATACTGTAGAGATTCAATCTGAGCGAATTATCTGAAACAAGATAAACAACATTGTTAAATCGGTGAAAAGAAATATTCTTAAATCTAAAGAAAATACCACTAGAACAAACTCCACGAGGACCAGGCAACAGACGGGACTCGAATTCGCACCCTTCGCTATCCGGGCGTATGCACTGACCATTATAGGGCCGCGGTAGCATAATGGAGATTTTTCTACTGGTATTTTTCTTAGATTTAACATCCAGCAATTAAATGCTGGATTAATTTAATGGGGCGCCCCAAACGAGGTGGACTGACGACATCATCAAATGTGCTGGGAGCCGCTGGATGCGGATAGCGCAGGACCGCGCATTGTGGCGTTCTATGGGGGAGGCCTATGTCCAGCAGTAGACGGAAAAAGGCTGATGGATGGATGGATGAATTAATGGCTTAAAAACATATCTGAAATATTCTTAATTTTTAAGTTAAAAGGGTGGGAAAGATGCATATCACCCTCCTCATGGTAAGTGGCCACTTAAGCCCAATCTCCATACTCCATTAATAGAGAAGGTCTGTGCCCCAGCAGTGGGAACATTAATAGGCTGATGATGATGACTGTCTCACTGACTTAAAGCAAACAATAAAAATAAAGTCTCTGAGTAAATTTGTTTTCCATTAAATTTCCACCTCAAACTGTACTGTACCCCTAGCACGAACCAATATCGAATTCGAATAGTTTGCGAGTGCGAAATGTCATTGTCAAATATGTACTGATTTTTAGTTTTCGTTACGTCCGTTTTAGCGCTGCTGTTAAAATTTCCTTAGAAAATTTGACAATGCCATTTCGGACTTGCAAACTATTCGAATTCGATAATGGTCCGTGCTAAGGGTACTGTTTTCTATAATCAGTTCTTTATTTAATTTACTTCAGTATTGATAGTTTTTATACCTATTGTAGCCCTATAATAAACCTCTTTTAAAATATTTTTGAGGAGCTGCCAAGCAACTTTCGCAGTGGTCGGTCATTGGATGGGTGCCCAAAAAATTATTATCTCGAGTTCCTCCGTGCTTCGGAAGGCACGTTAAGCCGTTGGTCCCGGCTGCATCTGCAGTCGTTAGCACCCGCCAATCCGCACTGGGCCCGCGTGGTGGGTCATGGCCCAATCTCTCTATTCCACCCATAGGGAAGGCTTGTGCCCCAGCAGTGGGGACATTAATAGGCTGATGATGATGAAAACTTTTTTAAATTGAATATGTTGTATGTGTTATGTAAAAATACATCCGGTACTTATACATTATTGAAAGCTTCTAAATGCTATTACAAAAGAAGTTTTGATAATTCGACTCGACTCTTTCTATTACATTTCAAATACGTAGATCATATCTAGGGTTGCCACCCGTACTTTATTATAAAGTATTGTCCGTTATTTCCGGTTATTGTACTCTATACTTTATGCTAATGATAAAGTACCCGAAAATACTTTATTTCGTGTGATTATATTTGTAGAGGTTTCATTTTACATAAAATATACAAAAAGTGGTTGATAGTAAGAATTTTTGTAAAACGGAACGACAGCTGTTGGTAGATGTCGCCCTTAGCTCATTCCTAAACGCAACTTAACCGCAAATGTCAACATTGTCGTGGCTGTTTGGCTTTATACCATGGCCTTTCCCATTGCCGATAAAGACAACAGATTTATAGTAGCATTATTTATTTAAAGTTGCTATAAGCAACGAAAAATATATAAGTATACTAATAAAGTGGAATAAAAAGTACTTTATTTTGGACACAATTTTTTCATACCTTTAATATCCAATGTACTTTATTTGGACAAACCAAAGGTGGCAACCCAAATCACATCTGACCAATAAAAAAACATTATTCAAAAACATGGAATAACTTAATACAATTTTGAAGACAAAACATATCAAAGCGTCCTAAAAGAGACATTTCGTCATTGCTTTCTTAATAATAGCAAAGTTACATTAGTACTGTAACTTACTATTTGGTTCTATATTACTTTCGAAGTCTAATAACTCGAGATGCCTGTTGATGTTAGATGAGAGGGTTCCTTTGCATATCAACGCCGCAGCGGCGAAGCCTAGACAATTTTAGACAATAAGCAGTTTTAAGTTTTTGTAATTCAAATATTTATATGTAAATATAATAAATAAAGATACTGTAACTGTTTAACACTCAAAAATTTTATCAGTTACATACCCTATAAGCCTACTCTAAGCTTAGGGGAGCTACCCCAAAAAAATAATAGTCTCCAAGCAAAACCGGGGACGGACAGACGGACATGACGAAACTATAAGGGTTCCTTGTCAGGAACGGAACCCTAAAAAGGAATGGCAAAGGAATCTTTAGGAAGCAGGCAATTACTCTATGATAATGAAGACATTTTGGTCACCCATCTATTAAGTTACCTTTACGATTACGAAAGCTGCTTTACTTTTCTTATTACATACGTACACGAAGGGCGTAATACGTTGCGAATTTAAACTCCTCCACATCCAAGAAAGCTATTAAAGAGCGTTAATCTGTTGGCTCTAAGAAAAAGATTTAGGTCATACGTCTATTGAGATTGACACGCGATTGTCTATTACACTCACTGGATTGCATTCTTTAATCGAATTTCTTGTGATGTTCGTTGCAATTACATCTCATTTAAAGTTCATAGTAGGAGAGACCAGCCCAAGCGTGGATTTTGCGATATACTCGAGCGCGGCAGAATAACATATGGGAGCCAACATTGCACCTTGTAAAGTACTCCATTTTTTTAGCGTGTTTGCTGTTGGTCAACGGGTTTGGGGACGGCGAGATCTTATAGTCTAAGATCCGGCTGCAGAATCAGTGTACCCATCGAGTGTTTGCTGAAAACCAAATTTTTACACATATTTATGATTAGGAGAATTTATATCCACCAGGTTGCCTATCAAAATGTGGCCGCTAGTATTTTTAATTAAATTATTAATAATTCATAATCCGTAAGAAATTTCACTGACATGTTTTTTCAATGAAATGTCGTCTATTTTACGGTAACATCTATGAAGACTCTGAAAAATCATGGTTGCCGTTGCGCACCTGGCCGCACCTCTTCGCAGCCAGGTGTACACAGGTATGATTTTGTTACATTTATACACCCACAACGTACATTCATATTTTATAAATCAAATTAAAGCTAATTTTTTTCTGTTCATTATTATATACGGTTGCCTAATTAAATTTGGCCGCAAATAAGGGTTGCTGGCTGTTAAATAAAGAAAATATTAAAAGAAGAGTGAAAGAGAGCTAGCGCGTTACACTACTATTCAGACGAGGATAGCAATTGCCAGCTGTCGGATAGTTTAAAGCCATTGCGCATGCGTCAGATGCTAGTGTTCTCAACGGATCAGTTGCGACTTTTATTCTAAGTTAAAAACCACGCTATTTTGGAGTACGTAATACACAACATAATATATTGCTGTTTCATTTGTGCATCGAAAAATGAAATGTCTTTGAAGAACCCTAATGACATTTATAACGAAACCAAAATCGATGCAGTTCAACATTTTACGTGCCTTATGTATGGACTCCCAAAGTGCCAAAGTGTAAATGCCGCAAGATGGTTATTATTCAACAAAATGTACGCTTCAAAAGAAAGTAGTGAAAAATTTATGAAAAGAATTAAAGGTTTTGACTCGACGCACATTCCACCGTGCTGGAAATCTTTAAAGCAAAAATTATTGCGGACAATCTTTGTTAATTCGATGTGGTTAAATGCTACTGAGCCGGATTGCATCAAGTTCAGCGCGGAAAATAATGGCTGGCTGTTGATAGATGAATTTTTAAAACCAACATGGTTCCTGGGAGACTCAACTCCAGCGCAAGTTGAGAGTGTGCTGTGTGATTCCACGAACAAGCCTTCCGATAATAACGACGATACCGACATTTGCGATGAAAGTGATAGCTGCGATGATAGTATGACTGAGAGCTCCGATGATTCAGATTTTTAAAAAAGAGTCACGGAAATATAAAATACATTTTAAAAATTTATAATTTACTTAAATTTATGAATATGTAAAATAAATCTAATACTTAAATAAAATCAAATCTTTTTCATACAGTACTTGCACAACACAATTTTTTTTACATAAATAACCTTGGTTTTATTCATCAACAATATCCATTTACGGATATTGTTGATGAATTAAATTACATTTTACGGTACGCCTCAAAATAATAAATACTCCAAGACGTTTCTTTTGGAGTATTTATTATTTTGAGGCGTACCTACTATTGTTTGAATCGGAGGTTGAGAACACTAGCATCTGACGCATGCGCAATGGCTTTAAACTGTCCGACAGCTGGCAATCGCTATCCTCGCCTGAATAGTGGTGTAACGCGCTAGCTCTCTTTCACTCTACTTTTAATGTTTACTTTATTTAACAGCCAGCAACCCTTATTTGCGGCCAGATTTAATTAGGCAACCGTATATAATAATGAACAGAAAAAAATTAGCTTTAATTTGATTTATAAAATATGAATGTACGTTGTGGGTGTATAAATGTAACAAAATCATACCTGTGTACACCTGGCTGCGAAGAGGTGCGGCCAGGTGCGCAACGGCAACCATGATTTTTCAGAGTCTTCATAGATGTTACCGTAAAATAGACGACATTTCATTGAAAAAACATGTCAGTGAAATTTCTTACGGATTATGAATTATTAATAATTTAATTAAAAATACTAGCGGCCACATTTTGATAGGCAACCTGGTAGATATAAATTCTCCTAATCATAAATATGTGAAAAAATTTGGTTTTCAGCAAACACTCGATGGGTACACTGATTCTGCAGCCGGATCTCGTACTATTAAGAGAGGTAATCCAGGCGGATGGCATCTCCCCACGGAGGAAGTCTCATCTCCGTCTGGAGCCTCGAGACCACTCGAACCTGAGGGGGTCGACTCAACTGGAGGGCGTCTCTGAGACTCGAACTTCGGCTCTAGTTAGCCGTTGTCGTCGGGGTAAAATTTTTTTTTTTCAACAATCGGCCATGTCTTTTGGTCTCGTCCAAATCGTCAGTCTTTTGAATAGGAGCTACTGGAGGGTACACGTAACGATTCTGATAACGGTTGGAGGAATGGAAATATTAACCTGTAGATTTGCATGGTGTGAAAAGGTAGAAAATAGAAACAAAAAATATTGGAGTGCGTCAGATATTGCGAATAGTACAGTGAATGAAGGCAAAAATCAGCTGCAACCTCCGAATTCGTTGAACGTTTTAGTTTTTGAGATCATCACTTATGCTAAAAAAATAAAGTTCTTTAGGGATAACCACAAATTTGAATTTTTGTGGAAATGGTGAAAGTTTTATTTTTCGTTTTTTCCAAAAAAAATCGAGTGTCATCTTATTTTTATCATAACTTGCTCAATTTTGATACTATTAACTTTTTACAGTGCTCATTAGAAAGTTATTTCCAAGGACTTTAAAAAGTGTTCAGAAAGTATATATCATAAATTGCATCAGTTTCCCGTTATTTAAGTTTGAATACTTCTATTTAAGTACTCGCCGAAAAAAATATACATACAATTACCTATACCTCATTTTGAATTAATATTAGAAGGTTTTTCAAAGTAGGGGTTTGTTTGTTTTTATATTAGCTTCAATTATGGTAATCATACATTTTTTGTAAAAACTCATAGTTTTTGAGTTATTTATGAAAAACCGCTTAAAACATGTATTTTTATCACGAAAAATCACAATCTTTGATTTTTAATAACTCAGAAAGTATTGATTTATTCCAATAACTTTATATAACAAATTTTGTTTAGAAGTTGTCTCACTATCGATTCCTGGAGTGATTTTTATTAAGTAATTTTCACCGAGAAGGGTGGCAGCTACCTCCAGGGCAAAAGCGCAAGTTGGCGCTATGTCACTTTTGTTTTTAAGGTATAAGGAGATGTAACGAACTCGGAGGTAGAAACCTTAATTGACTGGACGCATGTTGCCACGTGTACTAATCTGTTAGGGCCCATGTTTACAAAACCCTTCAGCTGCTGCCGTCCCCTCTAGTCTCTTCCCCGCCTCTCATCTTTATACCTGCAGTGATTTGAGAGCCAAGATCAAGTTTGTAATAGTTCTTCTTTTTACTTTACTTTACTTTTTTACTAAAAAAAATGATTTGAAAATTGGTTCAGACGTATGAAATTTTGTAAAGAGGTTGGTGGAGAGTTCTTTGAAAAGATTTAATAAAAATAGTTTTTTCATAGAAGTTAGTTTTTAGTTTCTCAAAACTTTTATTTTTGAGTGTCCCACGTATATATGTACAGTATATGTATTCTATCCGTTACCCTAGCATCCCATAACACAAGCCTTACAGTACTTACTTTGGGGCTTGGCTAATTGGTGTGAGTGTTGGAAATCTAATATATAAAATTCTCGTGTCGCGGTGTTTGTGGTTAAACTCCTCCGAAACGGCTCGACCGATTTTCGTGAAATTTTATATGCATATTCAGTAGGTCTGAGAATCGGATGTAATCTATTTTTCATGCCCCTAAATGTTAAGGGTAATCCACCCCTAATATTTTTTTTTTAATTTTATGTATATATATATATTTTTATTTTTTTATGATACAGCATTAGTAAATACATATAACCCTGAATTTTCAACCCTTTAAAATCAACCCCTATTTTACCATCGCGATTTTTATTTTTAATATTTTTTTTCTCTCAATTCATTTTGATCTTCCGCCTTCACCGGTCGATAACCGATCAACGATCAATCGATCAGTTATCCCCGCTAGATGTCTACCTGGGTCACCTCTCATCCAGCAATCATCACGGAGTAGGGATGAGAAGGAAGCCGGTCTCCTTTCTTCCTCAATATACAGTTTTCGGCCATTTTTTTTTGGTTTCATTTGTGTATCAATCGTAGCAGTGACTTATACGTATTATTTTAATTTTTCTGTGCATCTATTACGTTAATTTTACTCTCATCGTGAATTTGTTATTAATTTCCAGTGCAATAATTATTTTTTCACATTTTATTAATAACTGATAAAGACAGTTTTAACTATTACCCGAAACGGCTCGACCGATTTTCGTGAAATTTTATATGCATATTCAGTGGGTCTGAGAATCGGACAACATCTATTTTTCATCCCCCTAAATGTTAAGGGTGGTCCACACTTAAACAAATTTTTTTGGACCATCATCATACAAAAATACATATAACCCTAAATTTTCACCCTTCTACCACCAAACCCTATTTTTTATGGTGGTACGAAGTTCGCTGGGACAGCTATATAGTAGGTATTTCTATAGATATTCAATATACGGATGGAGACATTGTAATGCTCCATACCTATATAAATAATTATAAAAAAAGTGGCTTCAGACTTTCTCATTTCAGAACCAATACAATATAAAAAAAAGAACAAGCGCAAGACACAATAGAACGTGACGTAAGCAGTATTCGAAAATTTAAATAAATGGAAAATTGAATGCCGTAGAATGAAAACCGAGGTTCCCTAAGCGATGCGTGTGGAACTGAATTTTCTTTCATTGAATTTACGTCCTTCAAATTTGTTTGTGTAGCTTTTGTAAAATTGTTTTTTCGTTATATAGTGAAAAGCTCTTCCACTGTTTCCTTTTGTTTATTTGTTGTTAATTTTTCTTTGTATTTTAGATATAAATGCTGATTCATTATATTTACATAGTATTTAATTTTAATTTTAATTTAATGATTAGCTCGATGGCGCAAGTGGTTAGCGCGTTCGGCTGCGGTCGTTGAAGTTAAGCAACTTTCGCAGTGGTCGGTCATTGGATGGGTGACCAAAAATTTATTATCTCGAGCTCCTCCGTGCTTCGGAAGGCACGTTAAGCCGTTGGTCCCGGCTGCAACTGCAGTCGTTAGCACCCACCAATCCGCACTGGGCCCGCGTGGTGGGTCATGGCCCAATCTCCCTATTCCATCCATAGGGAAGGCCTGTGCCCTAGCACTGGGGACATTAATAGGCTGATGATGATGATGATGATGATGAGTATTTAATACACCCGTGTGAAGCCGGGACGGGCCGCTAGTAAATAATAATAAAAAAAAAATCCGACACTATAAGGCTTGTGTCATGGGATGCTAGGGTAACGGATAAAATACATATACTGTACATATATAAGTATATTTATATAAATACATATTAAACATCCATGACTGGAGTACAAATGCTCGTATTCATCACACAAACATCTGCCCCCACCGGGATTCGAACCGGGACCTCTCGAGTCGGCGACAGCCATGAAACCCGGCGTACAAACCACTCGGCCACGGAGGTCGTCTAGTATTTATATAATGACATAAAAATTATATAAACAGAAAAAATGTGAGGAAAATTAAATACGATATAAATAATAGTGATGTTATAGACAGATAGCAGCTTTAAATGTTAAACCATAAATGATGATACGGTACCATTCGTTTCCAAATCACCAAATCACACTTGGTTGACTCTTATAACGGCAAAAATGTCTTTATTTCATTATTCTTGCTAATAAATCATCGCTATTATGAGCTTCAATTCATTGTAACTTTCATTTATTTCAAAAGCTAAATTCTCACACATTTTGGCAGATAACGATATAACTTTTGTGAGGCATGATTTCGGGTATAACAAACAAATAACAAATTAATGAAAGAAAAAATATAAACACATTAATCTCCAAGAAACATGGAGAAATATCTTCCGGAATATTGGCAAACATGTTGAAAACATGCCACCACGCAGCATATATGTATGTCTCTTTTTACTACGAAAATAATCTGTGCCTACGAGTAAGTCTAAAAATATGAGTCATACGTGTGGACATATCTGATAAGAAAACTTGTTTGATTTGATAATGAAAAAAAAAACTAAAATTATTATATTTTATTATATCTAAGATTAAGCTTAGTTCTATCATATAACCAAAAACAACCGGAACCTACTTAAATAATGGAAAGTGGCTACCTATATGTAATTGTATTTACTAAATTAACTTAAACTTCGGTAGACTTTTTGAAGTTTAATTTGCTGAAAGAGGTTATATTTTATTGAAGATAATTTATCATTCTCTTTAAAATGTTTTGATTTTGAATGTTTAACTGTAGTTATTTAAACGTAATGAAATACAAAACTATTTAAGCAGTTAGAGTACTGAAAAAAATACTATCATGTTTTCATGTAAATATTAAGAATATGAAATTGTTATTTAAAATTTTAACACAAATACTCAGTAAGTACGTGATTTTTAAGGAATTTTGGTATCATTGCATTCCATAATATAAATCACCTCATTTATGAATCACAACATAAACAAATTACATAATTTTCATCAATAAAACTAATCATTTTATGGTTTTAAAATTGTTTGATTAAGCACACTTCTAAATATGCGACCGATTTTACCTACGTTTTATGATTTAAGTTTTCACATAACAATTTGTATTATAAAGCAACTGAAGTCTGGGACGCAATAAGTTAAAAAAAAGGTAAAAAGTTTAAAAAAAATGGATAAAACGGAACGTAAAAATACCTCTTCACTATGAAAGTCCTCGCGCTGCAAAAACACTTTTTAAATATGCACCACAGATTAAAAGCACAACCAAAATGGGAACAAAGGCTGAAAAAAGTTTTTTTTGTGAAAGTTAGTGAGTATAGTCTCCAGGCTGGAGCAAAGTCCAGGTCGAAATGGCTACGCTCAGTAAAATCGTGTGTTATATAGATTGATGATGAGTCAGGACCGGAGCGGACCCAGGAATGAAATGACTTAGGCATGAGAAGTAAAAAAAGAAGTTATGTTTGCTATGTAGTACAACAAAGAAATATCAATTCATTCATAAAAAAGGTACATATTAAAATAGGTTACATATAGTGTTAAAAACGAAATTAGAAAGATCGAATACCAGTCGTGATAAAGTCTATTTTTGCTCGTACAATGTCATAACGATATTTTTAGCTTAGATTTTAACTGCTTATAATAGAATCCAATAAGTTTTCTTCTATCGCTATGTTGACATGTAAATTAAAGATCTGTTGACATGAATATATACATGAGATTAAACCACAGTGATTAAAGTATACTTGAATATCGAAAACACTATGTGATTTTTTTTAAATTTCGACTGGTATAGGTTGCTATGTTATATGGTAAATGTACAAGTGTAGAGTTTAGCAAAAATAGTACCTAGTTTTTTGACTAGCATAAGTATGACTAATTTATGTAAAATAATATAAAACGTCGAGTTTCAATCTAGTGCTAATATTATTCGTAATAAATTGAAGCAACTTAAGCTTATATAAAATTTATTAGTATTATAAATTATCGTCTCTATCAAATTATCAGTTATTCAAAATAATACCGTTCCAAGGTTGTTTTCAAAATTCATACGATGTATGTGACCTGTATTTCTTATAATATCCGACCTGGTTACGTCCCTGTTTAATCCCACACGCGCCTCCATGAAATTCAAATAAATTGAAAGAGTACCTTCCATACGATTTCAGTATTCTTTCAGTCCACATATATACACAGCCGTAGAAAATATTTTATGCGTGAATTTATCGGCCTTACTACAAAAAAGTTACACACGGTGTCAAACCTTGTTTAGGCAAATTTTGTATGTCATTTTTCTTAAACTCGTTTTAAACGCATGCCTAACTTTTTTGTGCTAATAAGGTATGATTCTAGGTTTCCGTAAGTACCCGCAGAATGACCACGGAACTCCCTATTACAATGTTTTCGCTATCGAGAGGAGGCGGATAGCGGATTATCCGCTCGAATTGGAACGCCCGTCTGGGGAAGCAACCTTGCAAGCAACTTACAGAAGATCACAGTAAAATAACAGTACCTTCCGGTGGTGTTGTGTTTCTGTAGGGTAAGGTTCTCCAAGCATGGTTAGAGCCATGCTTGGTAGCGAGCGGGCCTGGAAGGCTGCCGCCTGCGTAATCACCGATTCGCAGAAGGAGGACGCTGTAGCCGCTCCCCTCCGACGTAGACGGGTGGGCCGAAGAAGGCAGACAGCCGAGACTGCCGGTCTTCGTCGGCCCTAAGGTGGTCTGAGCGCGGCTTGGCCGCCGCGTGCCCTAGGTGCCATTCGGCATAGGCCACCCCGTCCGGGAATTGCCTAGTACCCTAGCGCAATCCCCCAGAGGCGTGTCGCCCGATCCACTCGTTGGACCGGGCCGACCCGGGGGCGCCCCAGTGAAGTGGCGCTCACAGAGGGCGCCGATCCTGAGACGCTCCCACAAGGGCGTAGGAGGGTACCGATTGTTTTTAGTGGATCGTAAATGGATTTTCCATCGTTAGAAGGAAAAAAAAGGTGAGTAAGGTTCCAGGGCTCCACTACATAGGGGATTGGGTCAGGGCAGGCAACGGCGTGAGTGACATTCATGGTATCGTAAGCGTTTACCTATAGGCTGTGGTGACCGTCTACCATCAGGTGGCTTACCATATGCTCAGGGTGCCCCTCTGACTTTAATGTGGAGCGAGTCATACTGATGAGAGTACTACTGATGATTTTTCTTTAAATGTGTTTGTGCATAGTATACCATGTATATGTATATTTAAATTATCTAAGCATGCTGAAGTCGGAAGCCTAATTTTTGGGCGAAAGTAGAATAGCTTCGCTTATGTAAAAGCTAGTAAGCTAGTAATTTGTGAAGTTGGTATTGTGGTCAGTAATTTAGGTTCGATTTCTTCGAATTATATAAGTTTTTTGGTAATAAATATAGGTTATCGTTTGGTGATCTGACAGGAACTAGGGACTTTGTATTTGATGTGAGGGAAGCCCCTATTGATCGCGGGGCCCTGAGCACTGGCCCAAAATGCCCATTGGGAAAGAGGGGCATACGCTTGATTGTCACCCTTCTGTCATTCAGACATACAGCCTCACAGACACGTCAAACTTATAACACACCTTTGCGTCGGTGGTAAAAAAAGAAAGTGTCACAGTCATATAGTTCGTATGTTGGCTGATTTTCTCTTTCTGGAGCGTTTTAAATTTCACCATTTAAACCAATACCGAATTGCAATAGTTGGATTGAATCGGCGTTTCCTACAAATTTGTACGGAACCTTCGGTGGGCGAGTAGACTGGCACTTGTCCAGTTTATTTATTTATTTTGTGGTCTCCACCATAGTCATAGGAAAAAGAATAAGCGTTCCCAATGCATCTGTTAAGAAAAACATCATACAAGCTTTTAAATAAGAACACAGCATCCAATTCGCTCTATTCGTGTAGGAGCTACGATGCCACAGACGGACACACAGCCTCGTAGACACGTCAAACTTATAACACACCTTTGCGTCGGTGGTTAAAAAAGAAAGTGTCACAATTATATATTTCGTATATTGGCTAATTTTCTCTTTCTGGAGGGTTTTAAATTTCATGCGAGTGTCGCTCAGTCCATTAAATAAATTTTATATTATAAACTAGTGACCCGCACTCGCTTCGCTTCGGTGTAGAGCCTTAGTGTAGACTATAGATTTTGTTCTCAGGCGTGTATTGTACACAATGGATTTATTTATTTAATTCTTTTTTAATGATTCTTTTTTTATTGAATAGGTAATAATGTTAACTTTTTTAAATTAGGGATGAGTGAGAGTATTATAAACGTAAGAGTAAAGAAATATAAAAAGAATGCTCCGAACTGCTAAGCTATCAGGAGTTACACGTATTATTGTGAGTAAACCATAAAAGATAGACGTATGCTGTTGCAGGATATTTTTTAGACAATTTTATGTAGAATATTTCCGTCATACATGATTTCTATATAACTTTAACCATTAAGGCTGCGCACGCGACGGAAGCTTAAAAAATGGAGTAACTTCTCCCGTTTTCCCAACATTTCCCTTCACTACTCTGCTCCTATTGATTGTAGCGTGATGAAAAGTATACTATAACCTGCCCAGGAGTATGAAGAATAATTGTACCAAGTTTCGTTAAAATCCGTCGAGTAGTTTTTATAAGGAACATACACACAGACAGACAGACAAAAATTTTACTGATTGCATTTTTGGCATCAGTATCGATCACTAATCACCCCCTGATAGTTATTTTGAAAATATATTTCATGTACAGAATTGACCTCTCTACAGATTTATTATAAGTATAAATGACACCTTGAATCGAATTCACTACCAAGCAAGAATCAATCACCTTCTTTCAGCAACATACAGATATATTTAACTATAGTCTCCTGTACCTTTAAACCAATATCGAATTCGAATAGTTGTATTCGATCTTGATACACGTCAAATGCCAAAGAGTTTTGTATGAAAATTTGAAGAGCGCCACAACGGACGTAAAGAGAGTTAAAAGTTTTCTATGCAAAACTTCTCGGTCGGTTTTTAATTTCATAGTGAATTTTCAAGTTTTCCACCAGATGTTACTATAAGAGATGCCACACAATTTCACTTTTACGTTACGATTATTGAGTAAGTTTTAATATGGGTTGCGCCGGCTGTCGCCTTATCCACGAAATGGGATTCACGAGGCTATTCAAAGTTAAAAGTCGAAGTCAAACCTTATAAATGTCATTTTAGATTCAAATTAGAAGAATTTCCTCTCGCAACGCACTTAGGTGTAGATACTTTTTATATTTGTATGTATTTAAGTTTTCACGGCTGTTGTAAACTGGTTTAAAATGCATTTTTAATACTTTATTATAGAATATGACATTTCGCATCCTTTTCAGAAAGCGTCGACAAAAATATGAAAAACTTGTTTCATGTAGATAGTTTTTGTAGCTTGTTTTACATCTGTACTTAATATTATTACGCTGAGAAGTTTAAATAATAATAATAAACATTTCCAACTCACACCAATTAGCCTAGTCGAAAAGTAAGCACTGTAGGCTTGTGTTATGGGAAACTAGGGTAACGGATAGAATACACATATACATCCATTACTGGAGTACAAATGCTCGTATTCATCACACAAACATCTGCCCCCACCGGGATTCGAACCCGGGACTTCTCGGGTAGGGGACACCTTTATACCCGGCGTACAAACCACTTGACCACGGAGGTCGTCAGTTTGTTTGAGCTAATCTCAGGAATAACTGGTCCGATTTGAAAAAAATCATGTATCAAGGAAGGCTACAGGCTAAAATAATGCTGCGACTAATAGGAGAGGAGCAAACAATAAAAAATGTTGCAAAAACGTAAAAAAAATATTTCATGTGTGAGTTTCCATTGTGTGCGGCTGTGTAAACGTTAAAGTTACACAAAACTCATGTATGCCAGAATTTTGAAAGTTCTATATAAAGTGAAGTTGCAGTGGGCTGGTCAAATTAGCCGCAGAACTGACGGCCGCAGAACCGACGGACGAAAGATTGGATGATGTCATTCGTAGGCTGGCTGGAGTGGGCTGGATGAGTGTCCGAAAATCGGGAGCATAGGTTGATGATGATGATGATAAAAAGTCTGCTTCAGCATTATGTATATCTTTAAGAGTGACCCACTATAAATTTTTTCCTCTAATTAATGCGTGTGAAACAGCAAGGCATCTCTAGTTATGTATATTAATTGCTACGTGTAGGAGCAAATTTTGTATGCATTTTGTTCTTGGAGGACAGTGATTGATACTTTATATTACAAAAGTTTATACAAAGAAAGAATCAGCTATATTTTTATGTATAAGAAATATATTAAATTAATATAAAATGTATTAAAAACAGCTCGATATAACGAGTTCTTTGGTTACGTATCCATTGTACATACCAATTACAGGGCTCCACAAAATCAATAATTAATTTAAAGGTCTTTGTGTACGATTTCTACAATTAAGTCCCTAGCAATATCCAAAAAATAAAAGTCAATAAATTTAAAGCTACTATTAAGCAAGAAAGAAAGTAAAACTTAAGACATATTCCTCCTCCCGTAAAAG